TAAACCTAAGCCTATGTAAGTACAATATCTCTACTTCATAACACATTAGAGCCTATATGTAGATTTTTTTTTGTGTTAGTAGGATAGAAGTTGTGTAGAGGTGTATTCGGAAAAAATACCATATTTTTATTGATATAATAGATTCCTCTAATCTCATTGAATCTGTTTATTAATTATTACATTCACAATGCCTTCATATTATGTTTATATGCGTCTCGAAAATGCATGATGCATGTAGTCATGTCAAAAAGTGCAAATTGATACATCAATAATTGACAAAAGTGAAAGAAACAAACTTGTTTATTGTAATTAGAGCACAATGGAAAGTAATAGGAAATAAGTCTAAATGTACATATATATATGTACATACATTTACGTATGTATATACATAAATATAATAATAATATATCTACATATATAATAACATGGATGTTTGTAACTAATTAGGGAATAGTCATCGAGAAAGAGTGAAAGTAATTATAGATTCTTGAAAGTGTAATATATTATATATTAACTTCACAGAAAGTGATGTTCCCTTGATGATTTTATTTCGAAAAACTATGTTAAAGAACCGGTCAAAATGTTTTTGATCAGCAACCTATTTAACCAAACAAAGTAAGTCCTAAAATTTAAGATTTAGAGGTTTTAGGTAAGATTAAAAGTTTAAGTGTCAGGCAAGGGGTTGCCACTATACTAGGTGTCTAGAAAGTAACCAAAATTGTTTCTAATACAATCCCAAATAAATTATAAAAAAATTTAACTTTATACTTTAACGAAAGTGGGTTGTTTATAAACCTTTGTTACCTGTTACCATTTACCACCATATGCGGACGGATGAGGAAAATGTGGCGAAGAAAGTTTTAGGTATGAGAGTTGAAGGGTACAAGAGAAGAGGCAGACCGAAGAAGAGGTGGATGGACTGCGTCAGGGAGGATATGGCTAGGAAGGGAGTAAGGTGTAGGTGGTAGTAGTAGTAGTAGTAGGTGTGACCGTCGACGTGCGACGGTCTTGCGTATCGAGTTTATAATTGTATAAAGTTCCGCATATTTTTATATCTGTTTTTGGTAAGATATACAGTCTGAAGTAAATTTTTATGAGAGATTTAAATAATCTGATTAAACTCAAACGGTTGGTTATCTCATCATCATCATCATCAACAGCCCCTAACAGTTCACTGCTGGACATAGGCGTCTCCTTACAATAGAGGTTTTGGCCTACTATGCCATGCTAGCCAGACGGGTTGCCTTAGGGTTTACTGGTGGTCCCAGGAGCTGGCGGACCTCCGTGCGGCCTGTACACGTGCCCGGAGGTCCTACACGCGCAGTCGGCGGCGTCACCGTGGAGACGGTGAGGAGGACCGGCTTCATGAGGAGTACCGACAGGCGCGGAAAACTCTGAAGCTGGCCATTAGCCGCGCCAAAGAAGAAAAGAGACAGGAGATGATGGAGGGTCTTAATCGTGACCCCTGGGGTCGCCCTTACCGCGCGGTGCGACAAAAGCTCCGCGCGTCGGGCCCCCCCCTTACGGAGACTCTCCAGCCCAGCTTCCTGCGAGAAGTGGTTGAGGGCCTTTTCCCACAACGAGCGGAACACACTCCCCCGGCGATGGCCTCCTTGGCCGGAGACGACGGGGAGCACGGGGAGGATAATGTTCCGCCCGTCCGGGATTCGGAGGTAGGGGCGGCTGTTCTACGGATCCGTTCCAAGAACACCGCCCCTGGGCCAGACGGGGTACCGGGCCCGAGTGCTGGCCCTGGCCCTCAACCACATGGCAGACCGCCTCGGGGAGGTGTTCGACGCTAGCTTGGCGTCGGGACGCTTCCCTGAGTGCTGGAAGAGCGGGAAGCTGGTCCTATTAAGGAAGCCGGGACGGCCTGCCGATTCGGTCGCGGCCTATAGGCCCATCGTGCTGCTGGACGAGGCGGGTAAATTGTTTGAGAGGGTTCTTTCTGCCCGCATCGTCCGGCACCTCTGCGAGGTGGGCCCCGATCTGTCGGACGCCCTATTTGGTTTTCGGGCGGGGCGTTCGACAGTCGACGCCGTGTTGCGCCTGAGGGCCGTGACCGAAGAGGCCGTGAGCTGTGGCGGCGTGCTGTTGGTGGTGTCATTAGACATCGCCAACGCATTCAATAGTCTGCCATTCAGCTGCATCAGGGAAGCACTCCACTATCATGGGGTGCCAAAGTACCTGAGGCGGCTAGTGGCAGACTATTTAGAGGAGCGTACCGTCGTGTACGAGGACCGAGAAGGTAATTTGAGGTGTCGGCCCATGTCGTGCGGTGTTCCACAGGGGTCTGTTCTTGGACCCCTCTTGTGGAACATAGGGTACGACTGGGCCCTTCGCGCCGATTTCCCCCCCGGGCTGGGTGTAATCTGTTACGCAGACGATACCCTGGTGACGGCCCGGGGGGCAAACTTCCAAGAGGCGGCGCGCCTGGCCACAGGGGGAGTCTCCCTGGTGGTCGGGCGCATTGAGGCGCTGGGCTTACGGGTGGCCCTAGATAAGACGGAGGCCCTGTTATTTCATGGGCCCCGTCGTGGTCCACCCCCTGGCGCCTCAATCGTGGTCAACTCGGTCCTCGTACCGGTTCGGGCCCAGATGAAATATCTGGGCCTGATCCTCGACGGGAGGTGGCTCTTCGACGAGCACTTCCGACAGCTTGCTCCGAAGCTGGTCGGCGCTGCGTTTGAACTAGGGCGACTTTTGCCCAATATGGGTGGACCCAGCGTCGCGACAAGACGGCTGTACACGGGGGTTGTCCGGTCAATGGCACTGTACGGTGCACCGGTGTGGGCGGCGGCTCTGACCGCCCAGAATAGGGTACGCCTCTGGCGCCCTCAGAGGGTAATGGCGGTCAGAGTCATACGCGGTTACCGCACCGTTTTGACGGAGGTGGCATGCGCGTTGGCCGGAACTCCCCCGTGGGATTTGGAGGCGGAAGTGCTCGCCGAAGTTTATCGGCGAGTGGCCGACTCCCGGGCGGAGAGCGGATTTCGCCCTCCGCCCGAGGATGTGCGCGAGTGGCGCGAAGCCACTCGCCGAGCCACGATGGCTCGTTGGTCGTTCCGGCTGGAGACTCCACGCGCTGGCTTCGCCGCCGTGGAGGCTCTCCAGCCGGTCATCGCCGAGTGGGCAGGGCGGCAGCACGGGACCCTTTCCTTCCGGCTGACGCAGGTGCTTTCCGGGCACGGTTGCTTCGGAAAGTACCTGCACTCGGTCGCTAGGAGGGAACTGTGTCCCGCCTGCCACCACTGCGACTGCAGTGAGGACTCGGCCCAGCACACGCTGGCGGTCTGCCCCGCATGGGCGACGCAGCGCCGGGCCCTCACTGCAGTCATCGGAGTGGATCTCTCGCTACCGGCCGTAGTACGCTCCATGGCCGGTAGCGACAGTTGTTTTACCGCGGTCGCAACCTTCTGCGAGGTAGTAATCTCGCGGAAGGAGGCGGCGGAGAGGGCCCGGGAGGACGACCTCCACTCGGACCCGATCCGCCGCCGGCGAACCGGGCGGCGGAGGCCCGCCTATCACAGCCTCATGCCGCCCTGAGTGTGGCCGCGGGTGGACGGGGTGGGTTTCCCCTCCACCCGCATTAGTTGGCCAGCCGCGAGGGGGCGGCGTCCGCGTGTGCCGGACGTCGCCTAAGAAGAGAGGAAACATTTAGACGGAGCCCGCACCAGGAGCGGGCTGGCGCTAGGAGGGGTCCGGATGTCTTAACAACAGCTGTTCCCGGATCCCTCCTGTTACAGGCGCAGAGTGGCACACCGTGTGGTTTTAGTCGGTCCGAGTCCGACACACCACCCCGCCGCAAACCCCGGAGGGGTGACGGTCCGAGGGGATTTCCACACGTTAAAAAAAAAAAAAAAAAAGGGGTTTCTTTCAAATTTTCCTTTTTTTGCAGTGCTGTTGTCCTGCAGAGTTTGTTCCCTTAGTCGGCTCTCACGCCACCCAAGGGTTGATTATCAAGGCATAAATATCAGTTTATTATTTATATTATAAAATTTATGTAGTTGTAATTTATTTAAGTTTCCAGTTAATTAAGAATAAATATGCACCTTTCAACTGTTATTCAGTAATGATTAGTAAATTACTCTGCAATGTTATGGATATAAAGTTTTACCAGTTAGTTAAACGGGTGTTTTTCTAACTGGTAAAACTTTATTTATAGGCATATAGTACTGTAAACTGGATTCAAGAAATTCTATTTGTTTTCTTTAATTTAACAGGACAGTAAGTGGATGGCACTAACGATTCAATTAGAAATTTTTACTTTTGGTAATACGAGTTGTTGGAATCCAGATATAAAAATCGAAGGTATAAGTGATCACTTACTTGGGTACTAATGGCTGAATATTTTAATTATTATTGATGGAATCAAAATGATAAATCAATGAATATAAACATGTGTGTTACACCAGTATTAATCTTACCAATTCTGATTAGTCACAAGTTATAGTAGCAACCTATAATTATAGTAAATGATAACATCTGTGAATTGTGACCAATGTCATTCATTGGTGAGAACTCACAGATGATTCTTAATCAGAATGAGTGCATTATGTATTGATTCTGTGTTATTAGCGATATAGATAAACTAAAACAGCAATTTCAATTTTACATAAACTATGTGAAAAAAATTGTGTCACTAGGCTGTTGACATAATAATAAATCATTTAAAATATGTGATACATTGCCGGTGGCACACAAAAGGCACTAAGTAAAAATGTCAAATGTCAATTTTTTAGTCACTTAAAAATGTGATAATATTATATCTCGTAAGCATTTAGTATTATTGATTATCTTATTCTTAGAAACTTTGTTATTTACCAGACATCTCACTCAGAAAGTACCTTTATTTTCATATAGTTTAATTGAACAACAAGGCATCGTCGGCAACACATAGTAAATATACTGATAGTGTAACCGAAGGGAAACGTTTACTTTCTCTGCATATACAACTATGTATTACATAAAGTATATACCAAATATATGACTATTCACAGATAGCCGGCTTACCCGCAAAACGCCAGCAGCCTATGCAGATGGAGTATACATGATGGCAGGTTCCGATAGGCCGGGAGCGAGAACTCTATCCAAAATATTCATGAGAGGTCAAGACGGCCTGCCGTCACTTGCTAATAGGACTGCTTTACTTGCATTTTTTGGTAAGTTCCATCATCATCGTGAATTATCATAATTCTAAAGTTTTGTAAAATTCAAATACCAGCCCTTCTTAATCACTTCTTTCTTTCTTCAGGGCAGGCGGAGACAACAGATCGCTCGTCTTATATACTACTTTTTTTACATCTATTCTTTCTACGATCGAAACCTTTAGTAATTCTTTCATTTTTTCATTCTTCTTAGGGATTCTTTCAAATAGGATTATAAATTCCAAATTACTCAAAATGAATCTTTTTAAATTTGATATTTTTATTATTCGTAGGTCAAATCGTCACAAACGAGATCGTTATGGCTTCAGAATCCGGCTGTCCGATTGAGCACCATCGAATTCCAGTCGAAAAATGTGACCATATGTATGATCCAGAATGTAACGGTGCTAAGTACATGCCGTTTCTTAGAGCTGCTTACGATCGGAATACTGGTCAAAGTCCTAATAGTCCAAGAGAACAGGTAAGCCTTCTTAGAAACATGGTCGAGTTATCTGTGTCATATTGTCTATTAAAGAAATATAAAGAATACAGGTGGTTCCCTACGCTGTAGTTCTTCATTTAAGTCTATTTTGTAACTGCCAGTTTAGCTAACCGCCGTTGCATCACATTCATAAAAGACGTGGTACCTCACCTGTCGAGCTGGCCTATTTGTGTCGAAGAATAGCTTTCTACCGTAACTATTCATACTTGAGTCTCTTTACAGCACCTATGTTCTTTCTTCAAATACATGGTCCACAAGGGCTAAGCCTTAAGCAACTCTGTTGTATATAGATTTTAAAAAGAGTTAGTTAATATTTACATAGGATTATTAAATAAAAATAGTATAGTATTTCGTAGATAATGATCCGAATAATTTCTACATTCCTTGCAGTTAATTTAAAGAAATTTAAAATAATCACGTATAATAAAATAATGACATTTAAGAATATAGTCATTGATTCCATTCTATCGTAAACATGTGTATAAGTATACCAAAATACTTTCGTAGATGATGATCTCGATAATTAGCGCAACTAAACGTCATGGTAGTTATACTTATATTTGCCGTTGTATTAACGATATTTTCTACTGTACAAGTACAAGTACTGGTCCAATTAAATTAGATGAATGAAATTTTTTATTAGGTATGTACACAATGAGGGATGTACATGACTTTTATTTCAGGTTGTATGAAGTTGCTTAATTTTTTTTCTTTACCAAATTATTATCAACGTACTAATAACTAGATATTTTTTATTATTATGTTATAAAATAACTAGATATTCTCTGCCACGCTTTGCTGTAGCACATTGTGGTTGCACAAAACTGACGCGAAAAATACGTAGATAAAAAACAATCCTTAAAGCGGGTTGTATGGCATGTTAAAATTTATGGTTAATTGATGATAACTTATGAGATCTTTGAAGCGTACACAAATCAACTTTACAATGTTATTATTATAAAATCATTATAACAGTACAACTAACTTCATTAATGTCACCTGAATATTATCGACTAACTCGCCCGATAACCATAGCTTGTTTTGTTCAAATTTAAATTTATTGGTTTCCTGTTTTTAAACCTAAAAAAGTTGTTACCTAAATATCAAATTATACATACATTTATTTGAAGCTTTTAGACATTTTAAACAATATATTTTCCAAAGCGGCATAACCTTTCTCAAGTAATGCACTTTTTACTATTTTTATTTAGATTGATTGCTATCTCTTCAAGAACACCCACAGACAGAACCTATCAATCTTACATAACTAAGATTACACATCGAACAATGTTTGCGCAATAAGTTCAAATAGGTATGTAATCATATATTTAACGCGTAATGTAAACTGTGTAACCTAACCTAACGTCCACCAATAGCCCGTGCTCATCGAAGGCCGAATTCCAGGCAATAAAATTTAATGGTAGCATAACCCAGATACACCCATCACATCAATGCAACTGCAACCTACAAATATGTCCCTATGAGCGAACCTTACCTTAAAGCAGTAAACCAGTTTAAGAATGTTAATAGCCGTTTAATTGCTGCAGGTTTGGTTAGATAATATCTGACAAAGCGAACTTTATGCCTAATTTGATATATCAAGCAGGGATGTTATTTATCACATTGTAAATATTTTACATTCAGAATAAATTGCATACTGTAAACAAATACGAGTCCACCTAATGTCAGTATAACTATAAATAGAAGAGTACTTTATGACAGTTAATTATTTCTATGATCCAGGAATTATAGAGATTAGAGAGCGTTTTTTTAAAAGCCTACGAGTATATAATGAAATAAGCGGTTAATAATGTCTCTAAACTGTCCATACTAAAGATGGCGCAATGATTGCCCCGGGCCTATCTTCTTTGGGTCCGTTGTTTAAATGTTTGTAAAGTATCCCACGATATATTTACGAGGTATTGCTAATGCGGGACTGTTTAATCAAAAAGGGAAAATACTAATAAATTATAACCACATCTGAATTATCTCAACCTGCCTAACGTAATAGACAAATGATATCATTATTTACTTAGTATTGTTTGGCTTCGGTTTTTTATACAGAAGAGGTATATTTACAGATGTTTAATAAAAAGTGTTTTTAATATACACATAAATGTATTGTTTTAGAAATAGGCAGAATGTTATATACTTATAGATGTCAAAAAACCTAAAGAACAACATACTAGGTTACAAAAGTAATATAAAAATCTATATTGTAATTACAAACACGACTCAATCACACGTAAAAATGCAAACATGCTCGACTCGGCCTCGGTCGACAATAACACATGTCATTCTGTTGCAGATAAACCAAATAACGTCGTGGATCGATGGCAGTTTCGTGTACAGCACCAGCGAGGCGTGGGTGAATGCAATGAGGTCATTTCAGGTGCCACCCAGCAGCCACGCCTGCGTCTTTACGTACTTTCCTATACATATATAACCTGATACATTACTTACATACGTATATTACTAGCCTAAATAAATTAGACTAATTGCTTTATATTTTCAAGAAACAACTCAACTCAATAAAATCAATGCAACGCGAACAATTATCGCTTTGTTTTTTAGTAAAGAAGAATTTCGTGAAGACGAAGTCTCAAAATATATTACATACATTACCATAATATATGTACGTGGTAATAATTTACCCGTGCCCGGAACAGATGTTTTTCGAAACCAAATGCCCTTGACTAAGAAAATATTATTCTTTATTTAATAATAATAACATAAAAAAATATTACTAGATACAACTAGCAATATTTAAAAAAAAATAATTTCGAATAAATAATACGAAACTTTAAAATAAAATATTTAAAACCGTTATATCATTAATAACTATTCTTAATAACGTAATATTGAGCCCATAATGATATAGGATTAATCATATTAAAAACACTTCTATTAGGAATCTTTCACGTAAGACTTAGTATTTAATAGTAACCATTGGTAGCATTAACACCGCGTCTCAGCGACATTTGCCTAAATATTGTTAAATCTTATATGAGTTCCATACAATGTGTCTGAAGTGTATAAAAGTGAAGTGAATCTAGTCTGACTATGATCATAGTGAGTTTTGAATTGTAGTTTTTATAGTGTCATCAGTATCATCACCCCTTTTTTTTCCGTGCGGAAATCCCCTCGGATACCACCTATCGTTGGCATGTCTGACACGAACCGACTAAAACCGCACTCCGTCTCGGGTACTAATAGCCGGGGAACCAGGTATACCCTAGAAAGGAAGTCGCTGGTGCCCCGACATACCTCGGGCCATCTACAACACCACCCCTATACCAACCCATCTGGCTAGCGTGGTATAGTAGGCCAAAACCTCTTTTCTGAGGAGAGGCCTATGTCTAGCAAGGAATAGTTCCTCGCTAGACATAAGTATCTCCTTTCCCTCGCCAAAGGCTTTTGATTTGATAACAGTTGACTAGCTGACCCATTCGTCTGCGTCTCCCAAAAGTAAATTTGCCCTGTTTTTGCAACTTTTTTATTGATGCTTGGTTTCTATTGATCATAGCGTGGAAAAGGTCACGTAACATTACGTCCCATAATTATGCTGCATTAATGCATTGATTTTTTTAAGTCAACAGACTTCTATTTGACATTCGTTTTGCAGTTCGTTTTGTTAAATGACAATAACTTCAAAAAATAACACACAAAATACAGTGAATTCATATAACTGATTTTAACAATGTTTTTAAATGATGATATTATTGTTAAAATTTATTTTTAGTTAAAATGATTTTGTTAATCTTAAACTGAAAACATTCGCGATAAAAGCGCATTTGAAACACAACATTCGCGATAAAAGACTTTAAAGTCAAATCTTAAGGCATTACAAAAATACAAACAGAACATTTAACAGATTTGCACGTTTACGTCAATGAGAAGGTGTGTGAAATTGGTACAGGTAATTTGTTGTAAGTGCTAATTTCTCTTGAAAAAGCCTGTTTTTTTTTCAAAATATACAATTACACATAGATTACTACTTTGGCACAAAAAAATCTATTTACTTACTTTTACAATACTAATAGGTACGTAATAAAAAAGGTTTTTACAGCGAATTTACTGTTTCGTACTTATGTGTAACATAACCTACTCCCACGTTATAACATAGTGTTTTGTGTACAGAACGGAAGCTTAGCACAGGAAGGCGGTTTGCCGCTGCGTAATACAAAACGCGTCCCACTCTTCAACAATCCTGTGCCACATTACATGAGGATGCTCAGTCAAGAGAGATTATTCTGTAAGTATTGCATCATAAATGATCTGTAATATTACAGTTGGCTTGATTGACTGTCCCATAAAAATTTTAAGATATTATTAGAATACTTTTATGCGCCTACTTTAATGTGCCTAGGTACATTCTGATAAATTATAATAAACTGTATTCTGGATGCCTAAGTTTTCCAGCCTTTCCAGCCAGCATGATCTTTCAAAAGAAAAGAAAATTTTCATTCAAAAGAAAGTTCAATGTTGAAGTTCTGAGAAAACAAATATAAAGCAAATAAAAACAACTGAATTGTAAACTTACTCCTTTTATAAGTTTTTTAACAATTAGGTTACTAAATTGTACTGTATAGCGTTTATCACAGACTCTTAAATATAAATAATTTCATTAAGCTTGTTCTTTAATAAGCATAGGTATATCTCACACAGGTAATTGGGTTTGTCTAGATCCATTTCCGTTGAAATAGTGAATCATTCATCATCTAGATAGGTTTTTGTAATATTTAATAACCTGGATATAATTTTGGATAGGTCGATAGACCGAATACTTTACTACTACTACCTCTAACTGATTTTCAGTTACTCCAGGTAGAAAAAGTTGTGAATAAAAGTAATAAAACATCGTTTGTAATACAGAAAAATCTATCTCTCACTTTATTTTAGTAATGTAATATGCTCCGCTCTTTAACCACTGTAGTCACAGGGTTTTTAATACTAAGCCATGAAATTTTCTTTGTGTGTCTCATGTACTAAATTAAATAATTTCTGAAATATAAAAAAAAAATTCTTTCACAGTCAAATCATAATTCCGTCAATATAATGTTTTCATCATTTGAAAAATCTAAGCAACTTGTAACCGCAATATTAATTTTTTGGTCTTGCTTTTCTAGTACTAGGAGATCCTCGAACTAATCAGAATCCAGCTATGGTTACCTTTGGGATTCTACTACTTCGGTGGCATAACGTTGTGGCAGCTAGAGTGCATAGGCAGCACCCTGATTGGAGCGACGAGCAGCTGTTCCAACGTGCTCGGCGAATCGTCATTGCTAGTTTGCAGGTTTGTCATCTAACAGTAATTATGAGTGTAAAACGTGTTTGGATCTAAAACGACGTATAATATAAAGTATTACTTAAGAACAGTAATCTAATAGAATATTTGATTTCAGAATATAATACTATACGAGTACGTGCCGGCATTCCTGGGCACCCCTCTTCCTTCATATAAAGGGTACCAAGCAGATGTGGCTCCAGGAGTAACTCATGCATTTGCTGTGGCCGCGTTCCGCTTCGGCCACACTCTTGTGCCACCGGCTATATTGCTGAGGGACAGGAATTGTAGATATGGTAGAGCACCAGGAGGTCATGACGCGATTAGGCTATGTCAGACTTGGTGGGATGCTAATGTAAGTACATACAGAATAAGTTTCTGTGAAGTTTACGTTTAGACGTTCATCAGGTGACCCGTATGCTGGCCTGCCCTCTCTTACATATTCTTTTTTTACAAAAGATACATATTCATAATTAATTGCGGTATTATGTGAGGTGAACCCTAAAGAACTATTGATTTCTAGGACGTCATGTCTCAAGTCCCAATAGAGGAAGTTCTGATGGGAATGGCTTCGCAAATGTCAGAACGCGAAGATGCTTTACTGTGTTCTGATGTTCGTGATAATTTATTTGGACCAATGGAGTTCTCGAGACGAGATCTGGGCGCCCTTAATATAATGCGTGGAAGAGATAACGGACTTCCTGATTATAATACTGCAAGGTATTGTTGCTATACTTATACTCGTCTCGTATTCTACATCAGGTGTTCAAAATTGTTCTATTTCTTTTTTATTCGGTTAAATATAAGAATATTAAAACAAATACTATACACAGTAATGTATTAACTACTTTACAGGGAATACTACGGACTACACAAACTGAAAACTTTCAATGAAATAAATCCAGCTCTATTTGAAAGTGATCCCGATTTATTGCAAAAACTTATACAAATTTATAACGGGAGACTTGATAACATCGATGTTTATATTGGTAAGAAAAAATATAATGTTAAAGTAGTACTCGTAGCAGATTTCTTTAATTAATAAACAATAATACTTTTCAGGTGGTATGTTAGAATCAACAGGGCACCCAGGAGAATTGTTTAGAGCAATCATTATAGACCAATTTACACGCATTAGAGACGCAGATAGATTTTGGTTCGAAAATGAGCAGAATGGGTAAGGATACTATATCAATTTCCGAGTTGCAGTCGGACTTGTTTAAATATTCTACTTTAGGTCAAACACAAGAACTTATTTGAAGGTCATTATTTTATAAAACTTTAAACAATCAAAATGGTTTACTCAAATGTTTATTCGAAACCGTCTGTCCTTAATTAATAAACGAAATTTTACTGCAAATCCTTATTAATACATTTCAAGAAAATTGTTAAGCATACATAAAACTAATTTCTACTTAATTTTCTTTGACCTTTTACTACGAAAATTTAGGATCATTAGAACAAAACAAATTATTGAACTTTTAGTATCTTCACCAAAGATGAAATCGAGGAGCTGCGTCAGGTCACAATGTGGGACATAATTGTAAACAGTACTGCAGTGGGCCCGCATGACATACAACGCGATGTATTTCATTGGAAGTCTAGCGATCCTTGCCCACAACCTTACCAACTGAACGCTACCAAGCTTCCGCCCTGCAAGTACCTCAAGGGTTATGATTATTTTGAAGTAAGATATGAACAAAAAATATAATAGCTTTAGTTCTACATGAAATTTAGTAGTAGAAATTCGGCTGTGTAAAAAGATTCATTTTCTTCAAGTTGATGTGTCTGTTATTTTAATATGTAATATTGTGTAATTGTTTTTTGTAAAAAACATACAATTAAAGGAAAAGCCAGGTTTTTAAATCAATATCAGATAGATGAAATAAATACAATATTTTATATGATTTTTTGAGTGGAAAACCCTATGATTAATTTGTAATTGTAATTCATAATTTTGAAAATATTTTAGGGTAATGAGTTTGCGTATATTTACACATGCTTGATACTGCTATTCGTTCCGATTCTATGCGCTGGCGCTGGATATGGAGTAGTAAAGTTGCAAAATAGCAGACGAAGAAAACTTAAAATTCAACAAGAACATTTGAAAACTGCTCAACATAAAGGTATAACATTGTTGCTGATAGATAATGTCATTTGTAGGTTCTCATCATGTCTTGAATTTACGTATTTAAGTGATTGTGACACTAAGATATTGCCATATTTCAATATCTTAAAATCCCTATCATATAAATCTAACTTTTTTTGTTAAATGGTCAAAACATTAGCTTAAAATTGACAAATGTGGCAAAACTAAGCGAAATTTTATTGTCAACCATATCTATCCAAAAATTGTGTCCATAGGATAAATCTACATCTTTATGAAATAATATTAATATTTCTGTTTCATGTCTTAGGTTCAGTCGACAAAATGGTATGCCGTGAATGGGTACATGCTTCATATAAACGTATAGTGAAGCTTCGGCTAGGGCCAGAACCTGCGCTGCACGTCACAGATCGTAAAGGGGACAAACTACGTACTGTTCCCTTGGACCATACTGATCAAATCACGGTGATTGAGAGTCAGGTAAAAATAAATCATTATCGTTAAACGTTCAATTGATACATTCGTCCCAAGTATTGGACATAATATACAGTATTCTTATTGGTTTCTGCTCTTTAATACTTAAAAATCCATCTGTATCACCTATTCACACATTGCCATTTGCAACTTTTCAACATAACATTTTTGAACATAATTCTAACAGTCTTTTTTTGGATTGTTTTCAAACTAAGCATGGTTTTTGTTTAAATATACTATAGGAAAGCAGACAAAACAAACGCCCTCTGGTTCTGATTCGAGCACCACGTGAACATGATCTTGTCTTGGAAATGGATTCCATTAACTCCCGCCGTAAGTTCCTGTTGAAAATGGATACGTTTTTAGCACAACATAAGAAATCACTGAACCTCAGTCAGGTAATAAGATAAATTTTATACTAACTTGGCTACCTAATATTTAGATAAAATATTAACAACATTATCGTATAGGGACATCGTGAACAAATTTTAGCAACAGCGGAAACCAGAGAGCGTAGACAACGAAAGTTAGAACATTTCTTCAGGGAAGCTTATGCAATAACATTTGGTTTAGCTCCGGGTGAAAAACGAAGAAGAAATGAAGATGCTGATCCAGAGGTAAGAAAAACATTACAAAGTGATTATTTCCAGCCTTTCGTTGAATATACAATTATATATACCTTAAAAGTAAGATCGCCTTAGTGGCAAATAGATTCTATAGAATAGATTTGAATGTACTTAAACAGACATAATAATATACAATCTTAAATCACATAAAGTAGATAGTTAAAATTTATTTGAAATTATTTTGTCAATGATTTTATACTATGTTGTTTATACCACCTACCAGATGGTTAGGCATTACCGTAGCATATGCACGCTTACAATTTCAGTGCTCCCAAGTGGGATGCGTTTTCACACCTTATAGGTACTCCTATCTTGATCAATCCTGTAATCCTGGTTCTCAATATGAAATGAAATAATTTTATTAATTTATTATTAATAATTTTATTTCCAGTCCATTGTAATGAGGACATCTCTATCAAAAAGTGAATTTGCCAGCGCTTTGGGCATGAAAGCAGATGCAGTGTTTGTGAAAAAAATGTTTAACATCGTAGACAAAGATGGCGATGGAAGGATCTCTTTCCAGGTATTTAAATAAAATATTGTTAATGAACAAAGATATTTCAAAACTAGTAATATGTTAAAGCTTTGAATTTATACGAACACGAGGAGTTCCGTAATGTTATTCTTTTAATTCAGTAAACAATTATATATTTGAGTTCAGTGTCCGAGTTTAATTGTTTTGATCTTTATCAGACAAATTTTAATAATACACAATAACGTACTAAACTAAGTTATATTTTATTTTATGTATTTTATATTATCTTTATGTATTTTGACTTATTATAGGAGTTCTTAGATACTGTAGTGCTGTTCTCGAGAGGTGCAACTGAGGACAAACTCCGCATTATATTTGATATGTGTGACGATGATCGCAACGGAGTTATAGACAAGGGCGAACTTAGTGAAATGCTGCGATCACTTGTTGAAATTGCCAGAACAACCTCACTGAGAGATGAACACGTTACTGAACTTATTGATGGAATGTTTTCCGTAAGTACTTAATATTTTGATTTCAAATATCTTCATACTAAAAAAATGATGAATATTTTTAATATATCACAATTACTTTATAGCATTATTCAGGTTATAAGGACGCACCCCTAAATACACCATTTTTCTTCTACTAAAAATCCATCATTATAACGTCGTTGTGGTAAAAGCTTATAGTAAAAATAAATATAAACATATTATAATGGTTAACGTAGAAATGTGTGTCTCCTCCAAACAGTCAAAGATTTTGTATCTTTTTATTATATACAAGTAACATTAAAATTCTTAAATTTTAGGATGCAGGCCTTAAACACAAAGATCATCTGACGTATTCAGACTTCAAGGTAATGATGAAAGAATATAAAGGAGAATTCGTTGCCATTGGCCTGGACTGTAAAGGTGCGAAACAGAATTTCTTAGACACATCCACCAACGTTGCCAGAATGACCAGTTTCCACATTGAACCCTCTATGGATCAATCCAGGTATGAAATTCTTTCATTTTTAACGTTCCTTTAGAAATGTGAACCTCCCTCAAACCAAACCTTTAATAAAAGCCAAGTTGGAAAAAAAAATTAACATTACTGAATAGGTTTCCATTCGTTATTCGCAAACGCGTAAAATTTGTCAAATGCAAAATGTACCAGAAGTTAAGATTTATACCTAATTTGTAATAGTAAAGTATCCATATCCTTAATTATTATTATCTCGTTAGATATAAAACTTAATTTCTTAATTTCTCGTTAGATATAAAATTTATTTTCTCACCTACTGGGTACACTACCTTTGGGTGGTAACAGACATTTGCTACCACCCAAAGGTAGAATGGGAGAAAATGCCTGTTGCATTAAGTCCGCAATTGTACAATGAATTGTTACTTGTGCATAAAGAATTAAATGAAGACATATAATTGTGTATATATGAGACAATATGTATTTAGTAAAAACAGGATTTCGTGTTATGAAAACTGTACGCTGTCATAGGAGTACTTTGACTAATGAAAATATATTAAACACCTTAAAAGATAAAAGAAACAATTAATTGCACCAGATTGCAATTATTTTCCAAAATGATATTAGTTATTCCTTACACATATGTTCTATGATTTCAGAAACTGGTTGCTACTAAAATGGGATTACCTAACAACATTCCTTGAAGAAAACAGACAAAATATATTTTACTTATTCGTCTTCTACGTTGTGACAATTGGTCTGTTCGTTGAACGATTCGCTCACTACTCGTTTATGTCAGAACATTTGGACTTGAGACACATTATGGGAGTTGGCATTGCGATCACAAGAGGTTCTGCAGCCGCTTTGTCGTTTTGCTACAGTTTATTACTGCTGACTATGTCGAGAAATTTGTTGACGAAACTGAAGGTATCTTTTATATTATAAAATTAATTTAGAGATATTTTGTACTTCCAAAGTCAGTGATTGTCTTAGAATTTGAAGGTTGTTATTTAAATTTAAACACGTATGTATGTACATACATATTTGTGATTCAATAAAAGATTGCAGAACCAAATATTACAATTAAAGTATAAACATTTGTTTTGCAGGAGTTCAGCATCCAACAATATATTCCCCTCGACTCAAGCATTCAGTTCCACAAAATAGTCGCCTGCACAGCGTTATTCTTCTCCCTACTACATACTGCGGGTCACATGGTCAACTTCTATCACGTCTCGACTCAACCTATTGAGAATTTGCGATGTCTCACCAAAGAAGTTCACTTTACATCTGACTTTAGACCTGGTATTACTTATTGGGTGTTCCAGACTGTCACAGGTAACTATAACAACTAACTTATGTTGTTGTACCGACACCTGTCTTTTATGAATTTATCTACATTAATGACATTAAAATTAGGCGTATACTGCGTAAATATTGCTTTTATTATATAACGTATTATAGTACAGCAATTAGTATTTCATATTTTAAGTATCATATTGATAGTGAGTATAAGCAATAGTGACTTTTGATGTTGTATTTTTACATCTTAATTTTTTTTTTGATACATTTTACTCGTATACCTATTTTATTTTTAAAACAACGTCTTGAATTATTAATTAATGTATTTTATTTTACTATACTTTACGTAGCTAATACTTATTTAGTTATTGCAAACCGAAAAAAAAAGTTTCTTTAAATTCAAAGTTTTAAAAAAAGTTTCTTGATCAAAAAAGTGCAGTGCAAAAACACAGGTCATACAAGTCCTGAACCTTCAAAACTCATTTATACATCGACAGTTATTTTTATTTATTTTAACTTTATGCACAAACAGTGCAATGGTGGACTTAATGCCATTCTCAATGAATTCTGTACCAGTTTTCCGTAGAGTAGTGATAAGATCCACTAACGTACATTTAATTACAAGACACCCGAATATTCATTTAAGCTTGACATAATTATGTATTTCATGTCGCGCATTTGTTATTATATCCTTGTTTGCTTGCAGGAGTGTCGGGCGTGCTACTGTTCGTGATAATGTGCGTGATCTTTGTGTTCGCGCACCCGGTGATCCGCAAGCGCGCCTACCCTTGGTTCTGGCGCGCGCACTCGCTGCACGTGGCGCTGTACGCGCTGTGCCTCGTGCACGGGCTCGCCAGGCTCACCGGCGCGCCGCGCTTCTGGATATTCTTCCTTGGACCCGCCATCATTTACACATTGGATAAGGTATGAGTTCGCTCAAAATACTGTAGCTTGTAATCCAAAATACAAACAAAGTTACTGCGAATTCTCTCTGCGAAAACTCTGAAAAATAAAGATTAAAAAACAGTCAAACAAAATTTAAAAAAAATATTAAGTCAAGAATTCAGCCTTAAATATTCTTGGTCTTATCAAAAGTTCATAGGTTTTAAATGTAAAATATTTAACACTAATAATAACTTTTTAGAATAAATCACGTCACCAATTGCCGTTAAACAACTTTTTTTTGCTTCAATAGTTTTAATTCCTAATTTATTTTCTCAGGTTGTATCTCTTCGAACGAAATACTTAGCGCTGGACGTACTAGAAACTGAAATGTTACCTTCGGATGTGATCAAAATCAAATTTTATAGACCACCTAACCTGAAGTATCTTTCAGGTAACAACAACGCTATTTCTTTTTTGTTTATAAATTAAATTATTGATGTACTTATGTTAAAAATATAATATGTCAGTTTATAAAATAATAATATGTATTAAAGCCAAAATTGAGTACAAATTTCTAGAACAACAGCATTTTGAAAGTTTTTTGTTTATACGTAATGTCTTTTAATTGACTATAAAATACTTCATCTTTGAAGTTTATTTATTTGTGAAACCTATAATTTATTACAGTCAATATTTGCTCCAGTGATTGCCATCACCTAATTGTCAACAAACTAATTAGTATGTCAAAATTCCTGTTTCAGGTCAATGGGTTCGCTTGTCATGTACAGCGTTTAAAAAGGAAGAATTCCACTCGTTTACTCTAACGTCAGCTCCACACGAAAATTGCCTGTCTTGTCATATTAAAGCACAAGGACCCTGGACCTGGAAACTAAGAAATTACTTCGACCCGTGCAATTACAATCCTGAAGATCATCCTAAAATTAGGTAAATATTTTTCTATTTCCTAATATACAAGCCACCACCCTATACCTCTTCCCCCTCATGTTTTCTCTCCATACCGGTTGCCTGTAAGAGAGTGCCTCTGATCGCTAAGGCTGCCACGTGGTATAGTAGGCCAAAACCTGCTTTCCAAGGAGAGGCCTATGTCGAGCAGTGGACTGTTGTTCATGTTGATGATGCTAGGAAAAGAGGAGGGTCACCAGTCACAGTCGGTTCCAAATTCAAAAAGATCTATTTGCATGACATTTTTGGAGTAATCCAATGCAATGACGACGGAAGGAATAAATAGTAACTGTCATTTTACACATTTTATAAATGTTTCAGCATCAAATTAAAATTAACATTTATATATTTTTTTAAATGAGGTACTTGTAAGTAGTAGATTCAGAATATGTTATGAGTTGAATATCTTTCTCAGGATCCAAGGCCCATTTGGAGGTGGCAATCAGGACTGGTACAAGTTTGAGGTGGCTGTAATGGTGGGCGGAGGTATTGGTGTCACTCCCTACGCTTCCATACTCAATGACCTCGTGTTTGGTACATCCACCAATAGGTACTCTGGAGTTGCTTGCAAGAAGGTAATGACATTGAATTATGAAACTAAAATTACAAAACATTAATATATAAGTCGATACAAGAACATTACAGATTTTTTACTATTTTAATTTCTTTTTTTCAAATTTTTCTTTTATTCATTAGCAATAGTCTCTACTTAATTGAACTAATTGAATTCATAGCATCTGTATTTGTTTAATATAAAAAAAAAACATAGTAAAACCTAAAATAATATATTGTTTTTATTGCAGTTGGCTGCTAACGTGCAGTTTTAAAATACATATTTTTTATTAGATTTGCCAATATTTTTTTTTGTTAAATAACACACTAATTTGTTGCTAAAAACTGTAGATTACAATGATTTCTTGATTATAAAACTTAATTTTAAATTGCTCTAAAAATCATAGCTAGTAGTGTCTTTAAAAACCTAAACGCAAAAAGAAAGCATGTTAACGTTCCAAATGTGAATCTTTTACGTCTAAGAAGACACTTCATTGTCAGTTTTATCAAGCAACCAAATAATGATATAAAATAAATTGTTAGTCATAAATTTAATAAGAATGAATTTTCAGGTTTACTTCTTGTGGATATGCCCATCGCACAAACACTTCGAATGGTTCATCGATGTATTACGCGACGTGGAGCGCAAGGACGTCACTTCTGTTCTCGAAATACACATTTTCATCACACAATTCTTCCATAAATTTGATCTCAGGACTACCATGCTGGTAATGTATAACAATTAAATGTTAATTGTTAAGAATTGTACAACATGTATTGTTATTAACTACCATGGTAATTTTCACTTGGAAAGTTATTATAAGTGCCGAGATATCGGTAACTAATCCTGAAAGTATACTTTATAAATATCCACACTTTTATTACACTTTAAACGAAAACCTAACACATTAACTGCAAAAAAAAATAATTGTTAATTTAATAACATGGTAAATTCTTTTTGTATTTGTCACAAATATTTTTATTGATACCTACATTTATTATGAGGTTCTGTTATCAGTATTTTAATTATTATTAGTTGATGATATAGTTGGTCCGTGTGGTGACGGATTAAGAATACAAATTGTCACCACCCCAATTCATCCCGTGGGTGTCGTAAAAGCCGACTAAGGGAGCAAACTAAGCAGGACAACAGCACTGCAAAGAGAAGGAAAACTTGAAACAAACCCTATACCAACCCGTCTGGCCAGCGTGGTATAGTAGGCCAAAACCTCCTTTCTAAGGAGAGGCCTATGTCCAGCAGTGGACTAGTATAGGCTGTTGATGATTTTGATGATGATATTTACTTTAGCTTTTAGTGTATATCGTGTTGTTTTTCCCTCAGTACATATGCGAGAACCACTTCCAGCGACTGTCTCGCACGTCAATGTTCACGGGACTGAAGGCCATTAACCACTTCGGGAGGCCTGACATGTCATCGTTCCTTAAGTTTGTACAGAAGAAACATAGTTATGTGAGTATAGAAAATAAAAATATGTATGTTACTTTGAGTATAATGAATTAACATTATTTTAAGAGGCTTATGTAAGTGGACATGTTTTAGACTTTTTGTTATTTCGGTCGTAGGCTAATTAATTGGCTTTGAAACATAATTAAAATAGGGAAAGAATTTTATGAAGCGTAGCAGGCCTTGGTCGAATAGGTACATAGCGTTACGCTATCGCCTCAAAAGTCTGCCTCTGTGAAGGTAATGGCTGCTTTACTTTGCCTCAGGCAGGCCCTATGAAGGCTGGATCATTGTGCGCTACTGCTGCAGTAGCCCATATACAGTAATCTGATTTGCAACAAGACACTTTATATTTATCAGAAAACATTATTATGCCATTTTTTTCTTGAAACCTGTAAAACTTTACTTGCCTAAAGCTCCTAACCTTGTCAGGTGTCCAAAATCGGGGTGTTCTCGTGCGGGCCGCGGCCGCTCACTAAGTCAGTAATGTCAGCGTGCGAGCAAGTCAACAGGACGAGACGTCTACCATACTTCATACATCACTTCGAAAATTTCGGATAAACCTCGAACCTTATCATATATATACAAATATAAATTTGTTTGTAATTTAACCATCTCTAAAAGGTGTTTTTTTCAGAGATTTATAAACTAAAATAGCTAATTATTAACTAAATCAAATATTACATGGCAATTAAATGCTTGTAATAAATGCAATTAAGGTTAGTTAGCTCAAAAATCATTTTCCTCCCTTTTGCTAGTTTACACTTTTCGTGAAAATTATTTATTTCTAGGGTAGATCAAGTATACCTACATTCTCGTAAAGTAATACTTTTATCCATTACTATATTTTTCTTTTGTTCTATCTATATATACAAGATCATTTGTGTTCACTTTTATTTTTTTATTTGGGTAATCACTGCCATCATTTTGTGGTTTTTAATCGTCATATTCATTCATTATGAACTATTTTGTATAGCATTTTTAGATCAATCCTTATTCAGAATCGTCACGGAGCCGTAAAAGTTGATTGGCGTTACGTAAGTGACTACTATGAACAAAAAACTCTTACTTTAATATCCAACAGTTTCACTAATTTACAACTTTGCCTTAAATAGTGCTAAAATACAACCTTACGAAATCGTCGTTCTATAATAATCAGTTGTTTACAACAATACTACGATGAGACAGTGAAAGTTTTTGCATCAAAGTAGTTAAAAGGCGGCGGTCAGAGGTTGACTCATGCTAGTGATTGTGTCTATTTTGGTTACTCTCAGCCCTCCTTTAAACCGGCCAACAACAAAATCTTGCATTATATAAAATTAATTTGTTAATAAAATTATAACCAATACAATTACCAGCAAAAGTAACAAAAAGTCACATAGTATTTTCTATTGCCATTGTTTTCCCACTTATTTTATTTATATTTAGTTTTAATACTTTTACAATTTAACCACTCTCTTTAAATCTTAGACATTCTAAAACTTTACTTTTTGCATCTTAACTATCCCGCTATTGCTGATTTATAGTGATCAAATTATATGAATTCTAATTTTAACTTAAATACAAAGCATTCTATAAAAATCTAGATTTTGGAAGTTAATTTTTTCATCCCTCCTCTGGTTAATACGTCTGTCTCTCCGTAATTAATTAACCACCTTCTTCTATTCATTTACACTGTCTATCCGTTCAGGTTCACGTGTAAATTCTGTGTAATATGCAAAAAAAAGTTACACGTTATGATCGCTGACAGAACCTAAGAATAGATAATGTATTGTATTATGTCAGTACAAAATTATCAACCGCGCATTTGAATGTACAAACACTTTTAAATAGAGTTATTTAGAATAATTTATAATACTCATTGCGATCTAAATTGTTTATTTATGTACTGCAATGTTCTAAAACAAATATTGTAAATAATGTATAAATATGTATTGGCCTAATGTTAGTTTAGTTGTATTGAATTGATTGTAGTGTAAATAAATATTCAAATTTATTATTGCTTTTTTATTTCTACATTGTCCAGATGCTCAACCAAGGTAGTTTTATCTTTACAATATAAAAATGTTAACTTGGTTTGTGTACGCATCAAAAACTCAAAAAGTTCTGCACCGATTGAGCTCAAAATTTGTCGCGTTTTACAACAAGTTTCAAAGATAGTTTTTATCTATCTTTGTATTACTTTAATTCCTCATCAATGCAACCGCAATACGCCACAGCAAAGCATAGCAGGGTCCATCTAGTTCCTTAGAAATATAATTAAACCTTTGTAATGTGCCTTTGTAATTAAATTTACACTTAAACTTTGAGCATGGTCATGTTGGTAATCTCCGATCGGGAAATTTTAATAGTTCTTTGTAATGAACGCTCCTCAGTCTTAAAATTTTACTTTGATACATTCCCAAACTGCGGTTGCCGAGACAATACTGCGTACGGGTAAGCATGTTGTCAATCTAAATTTATTACATAAGTGTCAAATTATAGGAAAGACAACGTCGCCCATACGCCTATCCCTGACACAGCTTTAATATTGGCTTGAGTATCCTTTCCTTTTCAAATGAACAATGTTTTGAATTCGGCGGAATGACTGAGTCCGACTTACCTACGATGGTCAACTTGTAAGAATAACGAACATATAGATATTTGACGAAAGTTTCTCCAGCCATTTAGCTTAAAATCTAAGGGTATTAATAAAAAACAATGGGAGTTTGTTAAATCAGTAATCAGTAAGCAATAATATACTAGTGATCAGTAAGCAATAATATACGTATATCTCAGGCCTGTTGGTCTCGTGGTTAGTGACCCTGACTGCTAAACCGGAGGTCGTGGGTTCAATTCCCACCTAGGACAAATATTGTGTGATGAGCACGGTTTGTTCTGTGTCTGGGTGTAAATTATCTATAATATGTATCTATTTAAAAATATGTAAGTATGTTTATCAGCAGTGGTTACCATAGTGCAGGCTCTGCCTAGTTTGGGATCAGACGGCCGTGTGTGAGATGTGTGAGATATATTATGTGAGATCTACCCTACTTCTTCTTACTCTGAATATCTATACAAATAAATTAAATTGGAGTGTCTGTTTGTAATATTAAAATAACCGCTTTTTACTATATGCATATGTATGTTCACACGGTACATATGCCAAAATAACATTTTTTACAATTTTTGTCTGTCTGTCTGTATGATTGTTCCGGGTAATCTCTGGAACGGCTGGACCGATTTCGACGGGACTTTCACTGGCAGATAGCTGATGACATAAGGAGTAACTTAGGCTACTTTTTTTGGACTAGCTTCGCCCCGTGGCGTTGCCCGCGGTTATAACAACAAACGCGTTAACGTTACTTAAACTTACTTAAACTTGAAGGTTACACGCATATACTCGTATAAAATGTTGTCAATAAACAAAAGATTTAAGCCATTATGCCAGATTGCAGCTATTATTTTATTGGATAAGAAATGCAATGTGCATTTAATTACGAGGAGTGGCCTTCTAGCCTAATGTTCGTGTACAAACATTAAATGTACATCTGATACGTTATATCAGATATTAATTTCAACAGTACTTAATTACACTGTGTGATTATTCCCAGACCTTTATCGTAGTTTATTTACGAGTGTAATTCGAGGCTCCTCGCTCTTAATTCAAAGTAAAAGGCGCAGACAATAGCCTTGCGGGCTCGTGACACACGAACGTCACGTGCGCACTACTGATCGTGCACTCGTTTAAATACAATTTCTCTCAAAATTTGAACTTTATTTATGCGTTAATTATATTTACATAAACGTTTTATCGTTCTGCAATTTCTAAGATTTTCCCTACCGCTGATTTCATTGTAAGAAACAAAGATGAAATAATGTAGAAGATGTTTCATTTTTGGTTCTTACAGAACATAGAACTTACAACTTCCTCGGTGGTGCAGTGGTAACATATACGACTGCTGCGCTGAGGTCTCGGGTTCGATTCCTGGGTCGGACCAAATGTTTGTATGATATGCAAATATTTGTTTACGAGTTTGGGTGTTTTTTATGTTTAATATTGTAACAGTTATTTTTAGTATATTTGTAATGCGTATGGTCTTGTTAAAAGCGACACCTATTGGCCGCGTTGCATTGTTGTTGATTTATCTAAAGTAGTTTATAACTACAGTATTGATCTTCTGCGTTCACTGTCGGACCACTAGATGGCATTTTTGTTTGTGGATAAGTCAGTATTGATCTATCATGACAAATTGTATAGGTATTAAGAGTGTTTTGTTATGGTAGAAAGCAAGTTACTTTTGATTTTGTTAGTGTTGTCTTCGTTCGCAATTTAAATGTCAAAGTAAAATGTTGAGTAGGGGTAATTTCTGGAAGCTTCGGGAACCGAGGATATATAAGTCCGGCTTTCAGCCACGGGAGACACTGCTATCTCGTGCCTTCCAATCTTAAATAGTGTTTTGTTTGCTGTGTGATTTGATTTTCGTAATATATTTTCTGTTCAAAAGTACCCACTAAAGTAGTGAGTATGGTCTTAATTTTTCTTAAACCTATTTGTTTCTGGAACCTGATTAATTATATGAGTGCTAATCCATTCGTAGGGTCCCAGATTTCGGGGTCAAGACGGTCAGTCTCAGACGGCGTGCTTGCTCGTTTGTGGCCTTCTGGTTCAGACTCAAGTTTCTCGGTACACTCTGGCAGGCTGGTGATTGCGCGGCTCACAACGCAAGCGGACAGCCGTACCCAAGGGTTACGTACTTACTTATAAACTTATAAATGCAAATTGTTTAACTTTTATCAATATCTAATATAAATAGCCGACTCGGGCGGAAGAGGAAGTAACCTCCTGGAGTGAAGACGAGGAGGCACCGGGCACCATCAGCTCGGCTCTGACGCGCTCCGCTGCGGGTTTTCTTATACCCTCTGTTTTTTATTGTAACCTTAATTTTGTTTTTTTTTATTTTAATATACATGTATGTATGACTGAGGTGTAAGTTGTTTTCCTCTAGTGAATCCCGTAGGTTTCCCACACGCACACACATCTGTTCTCTTAAAAAGGCGCCCTGAGGTTATCTCATCAATCTCTCCACTGGGTCAGCCGGTGAGTAGTCCGCCTGAGAAGAAAAGCGGCTACAATATGTATGTATTTACAAAAAAAAAAGTATAAACGTATTCTATCAGTCAATCAAGCTTTCATAATACAAGATCTGGATAGTTTGAAACTAGATGATGTTGTGTGTCAGATCTCCAAGCCATAGCTGTTGTGTAGTACCTGCCTATATATTAAACCTTTAGACTTCAAAGCTATATTTTGAATGAAATCAACGGAAGAGGACCATATTTAATCATCTTAATTATGAGAACAAATGTTTTGTTTAATAAGATTATTAAGACATAATAACAGATCGAATACTTTCGCACAATAATTCAAAAGCTTTACAGGTCTTTGTGGTCATGAAGTTAAATGCATATTCATTTTGATGTTAGGTATTGCAATTGTGATCATTAAGACAGACAGTCCAGTTGTGCAAGATACATTAGTGTATTAGTAATACTACAAACTAACATGAATTCACAAATTT